TGTACTTTTTGAGGCAAGACCGCCCACGGTTGCCCCCAGATGACTGTGTACGTGACCTCGTAGGTGGATCTATACGCCCTCAAATGTGTCCCCCTTCCCAGGTCCCAGACCTACAGCACCAATGAGATCAATTTGCAGCTCAGCCAGGAAGATGGTCAGACCATAGAGTGGATTTTCATCGACCCTGAGGCCTTCACGGGTAACCTCTTCCCAGGACCCCAGCCGCACCTGACCTCCAGGGCAGGGCCAGGCTCGGTTCAGACCCCCTCCCGTGTAACTCAAGATGAAGGCTAGACTAAACCACACAAACTAGATTTTTAAAGACCCAGCAGAGTTCTGATTTCCCCATGATAATGTCTCCGGTTTTGGTGGGAGGAGGATCAGATATCCAATCTCCCTTTGCTTCTTCCATCCCTCGGTGGCACTGCTTTGGGCCCCGGCTGGCCGCCCACAGCCGGGTCACAGGGGCTGCGGGGATCTGCCCAGCCTGTGCTCCCAGTGCTCACTCTGGCCCGCTGCCCGCAGAGAACGGGGAGTGGGCCATCCGGCACCGGCCGGCCAAGATGCTGCTGGATGTGGAGGCACCCGCCGAGGAGGCGGGCCACCAGAAGGTGGTCTTCTACCTGCTCATCCAGCGCAAGCCCCTCTTCTACATCATCAACATCATCGCGCCCTGTGTGCTCATCTCCTCCGTCGCCATTCTCATCTACTTCCTTCCTGCCAAGGGTACCTGGAGCCCGTGGGAGGGGAGCCACGGCCCCGGCCGGCAGCACAGGGGCTAGCTGGGAGGGCACAGAGTGGCACCACCCACGAGACCACCTGTCCCGGGGACAGGAATGGGGTGGGGGAGGAGCCCCATGGCAGGGAACTTGAGATCTGCTCTGAGGGTCTCTTGGTTACGGGCAGCGGGGGGCCAGAAGTGTACCGTCGCCATCAACGTGCTCCTGGCCCAGACCGTCTTCCTCTTCCTTGTGGCCAAGAAGGTGCCCGAGACCTCCCAGGCAGTGCCACTTATCAGCAAGTAAGGCTGGCCCTCACGCCTACCACCCCCTCCCGCCCTCCCCTTCCTGGAACTCGGGGCACTACCCTTCTGCCACTCCCACCCTCCCACCCTCAATGCCAACCCCTCACCCTAGGAGATCTGGGGGAATCAGCTGCTAAGGGTGGGGTGCGTCTGGAGATGGAGTCGGTGCCAGCGGGCCAGCCCCACCTCCCGCCTACCTGACCCTGGCAGGTACCTGACCTTCCTCCTGGTGGTGACCATCCTCATTGTCGTGAATGCCGTGGTCGTGCTCAACGTGTCTTTGCGGTCCCCCCACACACACTCCATGGCCCGCAGGGTCCGAAAGGCAAGGCCCCTCTCTGCCCACTCCAGCATCCTCCAGTCCAGTCCACTCACATGCGTCTTCCTCTCCACCCCCTTGCCCTTCCCTACTCAACTGCCACATTCAGCAACAAACCTGCCCTGTGTGTATCTTGAAGCATGTGGATTAATCCAGACGGATTAATAATAATACTGAGTGCTTGCTTTGTGGCAGGTGCATCATACATACTAACTCATTTGATCTTCATAAAACTCCTATGAGGTGGGTATTAGTGCCACCTCCGTTTTACAAATGAGGAAACTGAGACACAGAGAGGTTCATTAGCTCACCCAAGGTTGCATGGCTGGGAAGGAGAAGCAAGATTCTACCCAGGCCATCTGGCTCTACCCAGGTGGCTCCAGGCCATCTGCAGCCCACCTGCAGCAGTCAGCTGGGACCCTTGTTGCAAATGCAGATTCCCAGGCCCGCCTCAGGCGTCCGGGGCTGGAACAGCAAGGGTGGGGCCAGCCTGTGGCCTCGTGCAGGCTGTGCAGCAAGTACCCTGGTGATTCGAATTGCACACAGGTTTGGGGACCTAGGCTCAGTGCCTGGCACAGAACAGCCAAGCTGTACCAGTGTCAAGCCACTGTCCCTAAGGTGCTGCCTCTGGACCCCTGGTAGCTTGAGCCCTCCATGCCAACCTTCACTCTTTGCTCTGAAGCCCAGCCTGGCTGCCCACACGTCCAGGTCTGCCAGCTACTAAGCTAAGCGCCCCAGAACATCCTCTCTCCAGGTGTTCCTGCGGCTCTTGCCCCAGCTGTTGCGGATGCACGTTCGCCCACTGGTCCCAGTGGCTGTGCAAGACACGGGGCGCCGGCTGCAGAATGGCTCCTCTCCGGGATGGTCAATCACAGCTGGGGAAGACGTTGGTCTCTGCCTGCCTCGCAGTGAACTTCTCTTCCGGCAGCGGCAGCGCAACGGGCTGGTGAGGGCGGCGCTGGAGAAGCTAGGTGAGGCAGGAGGTATGACACTGGGGACACTCCAGTGCTCACTCTGGCCTGCTATCTGACGGGGAGGGCTATCTGTTGGCCAAGGCACCGGACACAGCAGATGAGTGTTGGTAAGTGTCCAGCTGGGGAGAGAGACACTGGGGTCGCTCAGGAGAGGCTACCTTCTCAGACTATTTCTTCTCCACTTGATTCCCAAACCTTACCCTCTCTCAACAGAGAAAGGCCCGGAGCCAGGGCAGAGCCGAGAGTTGTGTGGCAGCCTGAAGCAGGCCGCCCCGGCCATCCAGGCCTGTGTGGAAGCCTGCAACCTCATTGCCCTTGCCCGCCACCAGCAAAGTCACTTTGACAGTGTAAGGGGAACTGAGTACCCGGTGAGGGACTTGGACTTAAGATGCGGGCAAGATGAGTGGAGTGGCCATGGCAGGGCAGTGGGAAGGAAAAAGTGGAATGGGGACATCAGTGCCAGGGGACTATGGCAGAACACAGGTTCAGGCCTGGAAGTAGGTGAGAGGGACCCAAAGAAATGGAGAATAAGAGGCCTGCTGGCGGGCCAAGGACGGCACAGTGATCCAGGGCAGGCTTGGTGTTCCTGCCGGTCATCCCACACCTGCCTCCCGCCCTCAGGGGAGCGAGGAGTGGTTCTTGGTGGGCCGCGTGCTGGACCGTGTCTGCTTCCTGGCCATGCTCTCCCTTTTTGTCTGTGGCACTGCTGGCATCTTCCTCATGGCCCACTACAACCAGGTGCCCCCTCTTCCGTTCCCTGGAGACCCCCGCTCCTACCTGCCCTCGCCTGACTGAGCCAACCATCGGCCGCCAGCCACGTGGATTCTGATTGGCTGTGTTCTTCAGTGGCTGAGATCATGAGCATGCTCTTTGGGAAGTGCCCTTCATGGCCATGTGAGCCAACAGGCCCCGAGAAAAGCATGGGAAATAAAGAGACCGAGCTGGAGTCCTGGAGTGGTTGAGAACGGCTGTGGGCAGGGTGTGCTGTTGGGATCAGCATCCGCGTGGCACTGGCTACCTAGTCCTGGCAATCCCCTCACTTCAGCAAAGCATTAGCAACTCCCATCATTTCTGAAGCCCCAAGGACTCTGTTTTTTACAATGTCCCCAACTAGGCAAGGTCCCATCCCTCTAGGCCTAGGCCCCCTTTCCTCTTTACGAGTTCCTCACAGGTTCCTAAAGGAAGGAAGTCAAGAGAGATGTGAAGAGTAGCAGGCAATGTTCTCTCAAAAGAATGGCAGTAGCCCGCTCCCACTGGCATCTCCCTCCCCTGTCTTCTGGGTGCTGTGAGTACCCAACACTCACCTGCACCAGGGACCTTTCCATCCATATGCATTTTTTATCATTGATCACAAAGATTTCAGAGTTAAGAGCTCTTCACATCATCATGGACAAGCAAGTCACTACTCCCCCCATGTTTTAGATGGGCAAATTGGGGCCCAGAGTAACAGGGGCTTCTCAGAACACTGGTGGCCAAATAAAGTTTGGAGTCCAGAATTCCCAACTCAGTTTTAGACACTCCAAGGAAGATTCATTCCATGGCCTGGAAAACAGACCCCTCTTCCTTCTCTTCTCAAAGGCCAGGGCATTTGCACTGGTGTCAAAGGTTGGTTAAGACAAGGAAGAGCTAGGCAGAGAGGCTGGGAGGTAACAGGGAACTTCTGGGCTTTGCCTTCTGGAAGGAGACCCTGACCAGCCTCACTTGGCCCCACTTAGGAAACAAGATGGCCAGCTGAGGGCTTCCTGGGAGAGAGGCAAGGCCCTGCTTTGGAGAGTACAGCTCCGGCCAGAGTTCTGATTGTGATGAAACAACTTCATCTGTAAATATGGGTACAGATTTCAGTTCCTATCTACCCTCATCAGAGGATCAAAGGTGCAGATCAAAGTGATTCAAAAATGTGAACATGCCACATGAAGACCTGATCATGGGACATTGTTGGGGGAGGGGAGAGGACCCCAGAAATAACCCCCCTCTCCCAAGTACAGGGTGCCCAAGTACAGGGTGGCTGGCTTTGGTGCTCAATCACCAGCAGGTTCATTCCATTAACTCCAGTGTAGGTGCATGCTGCCCCTGTGTATTTGGAGCAGAGACTTAGATCCTGGAGGCAATTTGATGATGGTGGGCCCATCTGTGGTTCTCTTTAGCTCCTCGCACAAATAAGCAAAATTAAAAATACTACACTTATTGAGGGTTGCTGTGTCTAGCGCCTGGCACTGATTATCCCGTCAGATCCACACGGCAACACGAAGAGGCAGGTACTGTAATACAGTATGGACAGTACAGAAGAGGAAACCGTCTAGGGGAAGTTAAAACACAGTCCAGGATGGTGCAGCCGGCACAGGGCGTGGAGTCGGGATTTGTACGAAGCAGGCGGTCCGGAGCCCGCACAGTCAGCGACGCGGCTCTGCCTCTTCCCAGCCGCCCCGGGAGGAGGTCGGGACCCTCCATCGGACGGAAACTGTTTCCTTGGAGCCACCGGGAAGGCGGGCAGGAGGGCGACAGGAACCCAGGTAGCGCTGAGGCCCGCAGCCCGCAGGGACCGCGAAGCCCCAGCCTCCACGCAGCCGCCCAGGGCGGGCGTCCCGGGATACTTGTCCCACACGGGGCCAGCGCGCAGACGTTCCGCTGCGCCATGCGCAGCCGGAAGTGACCGGGCCCTAAGCGGGAGGGGACCTGGCGGAGCGGAAGTCACTCCGTGAGGCAGTGGCGACGGCGGCGGTGAGAGGATGAACAACAAGTTCGACGCGTGAGTGGCGCGTGGCCGCCCCCCGGGGCCCCTTCCCCCAACCGTTCCCTGCGCCCGCCCCCACCGGGGCTGGAGGCGACAAAGCTCTCCGGCGCCGGCCTCCCTCCCGGGCTTGGGCTGCGGGCCTCCCCGGCCCAGGCGGCCAGCGGGGACGAAGAGGGGTCTGGGGAGGCGTGATGCAAGGGCCCCAGAGACTTCGGGGTCGTACGGACCGAGGGCGGAGCGCGGGGTCCCGGGGAGGAGGTGGCAGTACCGCCCGGAAGGAGACTTGTGGACGCCCCGCCCCGGTGGGTGCAGGTTGCCAGCGGCGTGGAAGGGCGGAGACCACAGCGGTTTGGGTGTTTCCGCTGCCTGGCCTCCTTGCCTCTGAATCCAGCTTTCCACACACGCTCTAGCCTAGGAAGGTCACCTCGCTTCTCTGACTCAGTCCCCTCATCTGCAGAGTGGGGACGGTAACAGAGTCCGGGTCGCAGAGTTGTGAATACAGAGAGGTAATGTGGCTGTGGCGCCTACTGGCTGCTCAGTTACGGAATTCTCCGTCTTCCTGAGGCTCCTTCCCACTTCCTTTCTCCTCCCCCTTTTCCCTTCTTCCAACACACTCACCAGGAGCTTCTGTGTTCTTGCCCAACGAGCGTACTTGCCATTGCCCCCTTCTCCCATTTCTGTATGTACCCTATCTGGTTCCTCGGTCCAGCATCAGACAATTGGAAATGCAAAAAGGACATGCAGAGTATTTTTGCATGTTTCCCCTCTAGCGATTTGTATCTTGAGGTAGTTCTTACCTCTTTTCCAGCCGTCTAGGAAATCTGTCTGATCCCCAGAGACCTAGGTTTCCAGCCCCAGACCCGCCAGTTACCAGTTATTTGACAGTAGAAGAGTTACCCAGCCATTGTTACCTAAACCACGTTAGTGGTTAGTGCCCGGCTGCTGCTCTGAGTGTGGTAAGGACCAAATCACACTCAGCGTTGCTTAAAGGTACATTGTTAATTGCTAATAGGAATAAACGTAAAGTGGAATCGCTGTTGATTTAGGTTGTGACCTGCTGCTGATGGGACTTTGGGTTTTTTCCAGTACAATGAGTGCTGGTTTGCAAATTGAGGAGTCCTAGATTCCAGCACTCTCCGCAGCTCCTCAGGAATGTTTCCTGGTTGCTGAGAAGTCTCTGCTGCTTGGAAGAAGTCTTTGGCTGAACGTTTCCCCAGCCTGCTGCTTAGCTGAGCCCATTTCAGTAGGAATGGCCACCCTGCCCTCCGCTCCCCTATGTATACCCCTCGTCTTAATCTCTGCAGCACCTAACTCCAGATCTAAGTCCCTATAGGATTCTGCAAATCCTATACCTGTTCTTCCACTGAATTGAACAGGTCAAAATTTCATCTTAGGAAGGTGTTTTTGTGGGTCATCTAGCCCAGTCCCATCCAAATCATTTGGATTTGGGGATTGCAGTAAGCTAATTTAAGAATGGTAACAATGGGGGTTGGGGGGGGGGCGCCTGGGTGGCTCAGTCGGTTAAGCATCTGACTCTTGATCTCAGCTCAGGTCTTGATCTCAACATTGTGAGTTCAAGCCCCACACTGGGTGTGACACATACTTAAAAAAGAAAAAAGAAGGGTAACGGCTTCCATAGGCATCTTGCTAGATGCTTTTCATATATTATTTCTACTCTTAACCCTACAAAGGGGATCATGTTACCGCCTTTTACAAATAGGAAAATGAGTCCCTACAGATAGAAAGGCCCATATGGTGGGATTCAAACCCAGGTTTGTTGTTTAACCTTGATTCATGTACCTCTTGGCAAAAATTAACCTGGATCATTTTCAATTAGTTCTAACTATTAACTGTTCCTTGTAGTATGCCCAAATTTTTTAACCTCTCTCTTCTAGCTGTGTAGGAAAAGAACCAAAGCTTTCGTTGATTTGAAATTAGCAATTGGAGACCTCACTCCTGACCCTGGTTTTGCTTTTGTTTTTGTTTTTCATGTGAAAAGTCTGAGGTGTATTAAGTTTATTTAAGTAATCTTTGCACTCAATGTGGAGTGTGAACCTGTGACCCTGAAACCAAGAGTCACATCCTCCTCTGTCTGAGTTAGCCAGGTGCCCCAAAAGAAAGTCCCCGTTTTCGGACCATGTTTGGCATATATATATATATGTATATATATATATATATATAAATATATTTTATATATATATATATAAAAATCCTATTTTTTTCCCAAATGAATATATATATATAAATATATATTTTTTGAATATATATATATACACATATATATATATTTTTTTTTTTTAATTTACGCAGGTGTTAGCATATGGTGCAACAATGAGTTTCAGGGTAGATTCCTTGGTGCCCCAGCCCATTTCCATCACCCCCCCTCCCACAGCCCTCAGTAACCTCAGTTTTGTTCTCCTTCATTTATGAGGTCTCTTCTGTTTTGTTTCCCTCCCTGTTTTATATTATTTTTTTGTTTTAACTTATGTACATCTGTTCTGTGTCTGAGAATTCCTCATAGGTAGAGTCATATGATATTTAATCTTTCATCTGACCTAATTTCCTTAGCATGGCCCTCTAAAGGTTTGCATCACGTGAGTGTAATTGGCAGATTTCACATTCTTTGATTGCGAGTAGCCTCCATTGTATATATATGCCACATCTGTTTATCAATTTCAATCTTCGATGGTTGTTTGGGTTCCCTCCATACTTTTGGCTATTGTTGATGGTGCTGCTATAAACATGGGGGGGTGCATGTCCCGCCGAGCAACACACCGCCATCCCTTGGATAAATGCCCTAGATGCAATTACCGGGTTGTAGGGTGGTTGCGTTCTATTTTTAGTTTTTTGAGGAACCTCCATACTGTTTTCCAGAGTGGCTGCACCAGCTTGCATTCCCATACATGTTTGGCTTTTACACTCTTCACCACATGGTTCCTAAGGACTGTTCCTAAGATTCCAGTTTGCCAGCATCCTAAAAGTCCAGCGCCCGGAGTTGGGTACTGTAGTCTAAACTGATGCGCTCAGGTTAAAGAAGAGCTCTAACCTCCTCTATTTTGTGGGCCCGACTTCTATGAGCGTAACCTAGAACTATAATTGCACCCCACCCCCCACATTTATCAAGTCAGTTAGCTACATTGTCATTGTTGCTGTTGACATGTGAAACTCTAAGATGCTTTCACTGTTCTGCAGTCCCAGCTGCGTTGAGCTTGGTTTTCAGATCTAGATGCCATACTTGATTTTCCCACTGTTCTCTCTTCGCTAGCCTTTGGCCCACTCTTAAAGTATTGTCTGAACCTCCTGTTTGGCACTTATCCTATTCTGCTTTGTATTGCTTTGATTTTAGAAGTCCATTCATTAAACATGTTTGTTTCTGCCTCTGTCTGATGCTGGACATGTAAAGATGAATTAGACCAAGTTCCCAGATGCATAAGGAATCGGTCTGGTTAGAGAATATGAGGACAAGCCTGGGTGGAAGTTTGGTGAGCTGACTTGGAGCCACTCAGTCTAGACAGCCTTAGAGATGCTAATTGCTTGCCTGTGTCTATGGAGCACAGATTTTTAGTCCTGACTATTTTGGCTCGAATCCAGCTTCAAGTTGGGAAGAGTAGCCTCTGGAAGATGGGATGCAAGTGATTTGCCTTAAGTGAAAGCTTAGTGGGCGGGGTGGTTGGTTAGCTCTATTGTTATTAGAAATAACAATACAAGATGAAGGTCCATTAGGATTTCCTTTTACCATCTCCAAAGGGAGTCAGGAAGTGTGGTCCAGGGATCACAGCACTGTTTGTTTTTGAATGTAATTATTTTTGCTATTTTTTTCTTTTGTTTCCTAGTAGTGATTAGCAGCAAAACCACTAAAAAGAAAGGAACTTCTGCTTTTCTTGAGGCTAGTAAAAATGAGAGATGCTGGGGTGACTCTTCAAGATTTAAAGGGAAGGGACCCTAGAGGATATCGTGGAGGCTGGGAGCTGAGAGAGAAATGGTTTGAGCCCTGGGGTATCCCATAAAGAAGAGAATTAAGAGCTGTCTTGGGCCTATGCCATATAAAAACCTATGAGATGTTTTTGATCAGGAGCCAAAAAATTGGCTATGGCATCATAGTGGGGACAAGTACAAACATTTATATGGTGAGGTTCAGAAGAGGGGAGCCTGATCCAGCCTAGGGAGAGATTAGGAAGTATTTTTAAGAGAAAGTGGCCGGGGCGCCTGGGTGGCGCAGTCGGTTAAGCGTCCGACTTCAGCCAGGTCACGATCTCGCGGTCCGGGAGTTCGAGCCCCGCGTCGGGCTCTGGGCTGATGGCTCAGAGCCTGGAGCCTGTTTCCGATTCTGTGTCTCCCTCTCTCTCTGCCCCTCCCCCGTTCATGCTCTGTCTCTCTCTGTCCCAAAAATAAATAAACGTT